AACCCAGAGCCATCTGAATATCAAGTTGCCATCACAGAACTACTAGTTTGTCACTGTTATATTGTCAATTACTTTTAAAAAAATATCTCACACTGAAAGGCCATTTGCAAATAATAGGCCTTACTTCTGAGTAATATACACACAGATAAAGCGCTTTAGGCTGCTTGTTACTCTGAATTTATTTTGCCTCAGATCTGCACATCAAGTTACTGGCAGTTTCAAATCAAGCACAGCAAACAGTGGCGCTAATAGGTATTATGGAGAGAGGACAAATTTGGAATCTTGGAGCAAACAGAAAGGAGACAAGCTCACGTGCTCTAAGATGGTCAACTGTTTATTCATTTTTTAATTCAGTGTTTAAAAAGCCCAACATGTTTCAGCCACACTAGGCATTCCTGAGGACTGAAAACAAATATAAATACATTTAAAATATGGTATTTAAAGATAGGACATCACTCATCAAACAGTGATACAAAAATATCCATATATATCTTATCAGAGTTATACATACCCTTTGAGAGAACTCGTTGGAGTTGATAATACTCTTCAAATTACAGAACCATAGAAATAAAGGGACCATACAACGCAAGTTTTACCAACAGCACAACCCAATCTATCTTTGCCCAGAGGTTTCGGCCCACTTAGTTCAACAGGTCTTCATCTCAAGTAAATTCGCACTGAAATGGATTTCAGTGGAGTTACAACTAGCTGAATAAAAGTTCACAGCTCCCAGCAAATGCAAAAGTGGTGGGGTTACATGGAGGAGGAGGCTACAAGATTGTGCCCTGCTGCCTCAGAAATTATATTTTGCCATTTTATATAAGGGACACCATTTTCTACACCATTGTATATAAGGGGATTTGAGCATCCATGGATTTTGGTATTCATGGGGGGTCCTGGGACCAAACCCCAGCAGATACCAAGGGCCCACTGCAGTCATCTCTCCTGATAACAAAGCAGGTAGTATTCAAAGGATCATACAGAGAGCACAAATAAATAAAGGGTTTAATATTTTTGATTATTATTTGAGTAGACCCCAAATAATGTCTACTAAGTGTTAAGTCTACTAAAACTACAAGGACTCATTTTTGGGTAAACAGGATTACAACTGGCCTGGCCTGTAACAGAGTAACTGAAATGTATATAAATGCTATAATCTTACAAATGTACTGATATTAAAGGAATGCATACAAACAATTTAACTTGTAACATTATCATTTACCAGAAGGTGACTGTGAAGTATTATTGGATACCTGGAGTCCAGGAATAAAACGAGGATCTTTTTCAACTAACAGAAGTTCAGCAACACCAGCATTCAAAATGGCTCTTGTGATTCCTCCTGGACCAGGACCCACCTCACAAACATATGCATCTTTCAGGTTGCCGGCACTTCTCACTATCTTATCTGAAAGAAAAGGACATATAGCCATAGCTTCTTTTCTTCACCTTCTGTAGAAAGTTCATTAAACCCACAATCCTGTACAAGCTAACCTAGAAATAAGTCCCATTGAACTCAACATATGTACATCTGCAGTATATTTTGGACCACTGTTACACACAGATTTAGGGCCTGAACACTGTCAGAAAAATCCAGTTTGAGACTTTACTGCTCTAGCTTAAGTGCTAGGAAATCACGAGAACTGTATTTTATTGTGGCCCCAGAGCTCTCTGACAGAGAAGGCTCAATGCCTCAGAAAAAATTACAATTCCCATGATTCCCTAGCATTGAGCCAGGACAGTTAAAGTGGTCTCAAGCTGCATTATTTCTGGCAGTCTGTTCCGACCCTAAATCTGTGTGTAACAATGGTCCAAAACACACTGCAGAAATAATCCAGTTTGAGACTACTTTAACTACCCTAGTTTAGTGCTAGGGAATCCTGGGAATTGTAGTTTATTGCAGCTCTGATAGAGAAGGTTAAATGTTTCACAAAACTACAGTTCCCAGAATTCCCTAGCATTGAGCCAGGGCAGTTAAAGAAGTCTCAAACTGGATCATTTCTGTAGTGTGTTTTGGACCTATGGCTCCAGTAAAGCAAATGACATCTTCTAAAAATAGACATGAAAAAGCATCTCAGAATTAAATAAACTGGAAAACGTATGGAACAGAATAGTCAAAGACTTGTATCTATGTGTCTTTCATTGTGCAAACTGAACTATACTGTGTTTAATACATAAACAAGGAGACAGAGCGTTAGAATTCTCTTGTTCATTTGCAGTAATATCTATGCCTTAGGGAAATTTTTAAAAGGCATAAACCCTTTCACACTTTTTTTAAAACAATATATATTAATAGTGACTTTGCTTTTGCAGTCTGTTTTAAAAAATTATGTTGATTGCCAGAACAGCCAACTAGCTTCTGTATCAGAAACTAAATACTGATATGAACACATTAAAAATTAATATTCAGAGGTAAGAGCATTAAGATGAAACAAGGATGTATTAGATGTCTAGGTACAGTTTTTTTCATACTCATAGCTTTGTAAAAAATAAATACTATAAGAGTTAAGTAGAGGGAGAGAAAAGCAATACACAAAGAGCAGCTGTTTAAATATCAAAACACAATAATTATGAAAACTGTCACACCTTAGGTTTTGCATACTGGAGCTCTTGTACTCAAACCCCAACATCGGCAATAATGCTATCTCACATTAACAGTGTACTAGGGAAAATAATCAGTATTTATTTAGAGTACTTCTAATCCATTCTTCAGCCAAGATTGGCTGCCAGGGAAGCTTACAAATTGTTATTTTGACAGTTTCCTGCCCTGAGGCATATATTCTAAATAAGACATGACACAGACAGAAAAGGGATGGGAATAGGGGAGAAGATTAAGTCCAGGAGAGATTGCCTTCTCTCCTTTGCCTCTGAGGCTACAGCAGTGGCAACTGGGATGGAAGGAGGGCCTTTCCACAGATGCTGGGCCTTGGTATGATGGAATTAGGTCTGCCTGTTTTTCTCTCCCTTGATGGTCATAACAGTAAATTTGTATTCGATGAAGTGTTTGATATTATTCGAAGAAGTAAATTATGGCTGGTGACTTAAAATATGAACCAGCACTTCAAGAACATGTGTTTTGAAAATAATGCTTAACTTTTTGTTGTTGTTGAGAAAATGCAGTCAAAAACAGTGTTCCAAATCCAAATGAGTTACAGGCCCATTTCCTGATTTAAAAATGACTCCTTGGCTGCCATTTGCCTCCAATGGTAATACTTGTTGTAAATAGCACAGACAGAACAAACAGTGTAGGTGGGAGCAGGTAGTGATTTTCATCAGGAAACATGTGCTGGAGTCTGAACCAGACTAAATGAGCACTGAAGACTGGGGGTCCATAGCTGCTTTTTTTTCAAAGTAGCCAATTTAACCATATTTTTAATATTTAAAAACTTGGACAGAAAAGACATACTCCCAGCACTGAAGTTTGAAGCTGTCAGCATATTCCCTGCCAAAAATGAGTCGATAGCTGCCTGACTTGCCCTTTTCTTCTTTCCAATTTCCTTGCATCACGGCTGCATGAGTACAATTGCATAAGTATACATTCCATACGAAATTAAAACAATATGCTGCCACCAACCAGGCAGATTTCAGATAATATACCACATAGCTTCAGTTGTGTTTTACTTCTGATCTTACACCTTTGACTAGTTACTTCTGTTAAAATGAATGTTTCAGTAGTCTCAAGATTGGAACTAGTTGTTCCAAAGAAAGTTACTTATAATTGCTTCATCATTCCTCAATAATATAACACCATTATAGAAACTTCCTGGGTAGCTTTGGGTGGCTCACACACTCTCAGCTCCAGAAAACCCTGTGATAGAGTCACCGTAGCATAGCAGTAAATCAGAAACAATTTGACAGCACACAACAACATCTGTAACTTAACAAGGGTGGCACCACTCCTTTTGTGATATGACTAACTTTTAGTTATTTCTTGTTACAGGTATGTAGCCTCATTAAACTGTGGTGATGGGCTTATCATATGGTTGAAATACTGGTTCATGCTATGCCTTATTTTCCACTGTGGGTGTTGAGGTGACAATGAAGGTGACAGGAGGAGATTAAACCGTAAACCGTAAAAAGAAAAGTAGATGGATGGTAAAGTCAGGAGACAAAGACCAAAAGAAGAGGATAATGGAGTTTAGAGAGGGAGAAGGTTCAAGATCAGCAGGTGCCTAGTGTGCAGAGTTGTGGCACTTCCAACTGTTAATGTAGAGCTAGAAAACAAGTACAAAGCACTGTTCCTGCACTGTTGTGTAGAGATTGTTTTTTATTATTATTTATTATTGCTTCTGTTACTACTAGTACAGCATACAAAGAGGGTACTGGGAACACCTTTTTTCAAGTATTTTCATCTTGATTCTTTCCTCACCCTTCCATGTTTGCACTCATGATCCTAGCTATTTAATTTTCTTTCCACCTGCAAATAGAAGAACATGCCTGCAAAGGAGTGTTTTGTGCTGCACACTATCATGGTCATTACTGCTAATCCCACATGCAAACCAGTAGATTTAGATTATCTTGGGCATTGCTGACCAATCTTACTATTGAGTGATCTATTGGGTAATTTTATTTGTTTCATTTGTAAATAAATAATGCAGTACTTTTAACTTCTGAACAGATTCAAAGTTTTGTCTAATTATAAAAGAAAAGTAGAAAAGTAGTAGAAAAGAGAAGAATGTAGAAAAGAGAGTTAAAAGGGAAACACAGAGGACAATCACAAATAGAGATCTGGTCAAGGGCACAGAAATCCTCAAAAAGAAGGGAAATTAAGCAGCAGATATGTTCAACATTGCAAATAACTCTCGAAGTAACACTACACACATTTTAGGGCATGGTATACAAGAAGCATAAGCCAAGGTAATCTAGACATAGTAAAAAAGGAAATGGAATGCATAAACATAGCAATACTAGGCGTGAGCAAGCTGTAATGGATAGGAATGGGACATTTTTAACTCCTGAAGCTGAGAGTGTGTGACTTGCCCAAGGTCACCCAGTGGGTTTCATGACCAAGCTGGGAATCGAACCCTGGTTTTCAGATTTACAGTCCAGCACTCAAACCACTATACCATGCTGGTCCCAACTGAGTACCCATTGAATACAGTATTTAAATGCCACATCAGTCAACATACTTTAACACAATGACTACAAAAAGGGAGAGGTGAGCCAATCACCTGACTGATGCAGCCATGGATAAAGTAGTTTCACTTGTTTATGCTTGTTTCACAGCATCTCACTTGGGAGTATGACTGAAAAGGAAAAACTCTCAAGTATTTTAGGCATTCAATTGGGTATCCCCACCTGATGCTAAATGTGCACCCATCTGGTAGTGAACTATCTATGCAAATATCGCCAACATTTAAAACAAACATTACTTTTAAAAACCACAACTAATTCACTAATAAAGATTGACAAATGACACAGAAGCTAACCTGTAAGTCTCAAATCCAGAAGAAAGTTCTGGGACAGCTGTTTTTCAGCTCTGAGTTTAAATAATTTAATAATCTCTCCAATTGTTGGAAGAGGTGGCAGACGGAATGAAGCCACTCCTCTTGATGCAGCCATGGATCAAAATTTAAATTCTTCCCACTAAAAAAATGCCTGAAATAAAGCAATATATTAGAACAGATTTATATATTCAGATATTTTACAAATGCAAAAACAGGACTTGGAAATTGTATGCACTAATACATACCGTATTCCTTTCTGTACTTTCGTTTCACAAAGGGGGGTTGCAGACTGCCAGAAATAGTGCAAATTGAGTCCACTTTAAGGGTTAGGGAATCATGGGAAGTGTATTTTATTGTGGCACCAGAGCTCTCTGACAGAGAAGGCTCAATGTCTCAGAAAATAAACAATTCCCATGATTCCCTAGCACTAACCCTAACCCTAAAAGTGGACTCAATTGGCACTATTTCTGGCAGTCTGCAACCCCCCTAAGGCAACCTTATCATAGGATTTTCTGAGGTTGAGTGTGTGACTTGTCCAAGGGCACAAAGCAGGTTTCCATGGTAGAGCACGGATTTGAGCTTTGGTCTGCAAAGTTGCAGTCCAGTCCTCAGACCATTACGCCAAGCGGGCACAGTACAAGTACAGTTTCAAGTATAGTTTGTTCACCAGAAATGGCTTGTTTGTAAATCACTCTCTAAATCACTATTTGTACAGTGTTCAAAAATATGTGACGTAAACTGCCAGATGTCTCTTATTTGAGGGGCATAAATAAGAGAACTGCCTTATTTGAAAGCTAGAAAGCTTGTCCTTTATACAGCTGGAAGGTGTCCCTTGTTGAAAGGGATGTCCACTATTTGAGGGCTATCATGTATGTCCTTTCATATGAACTCATTAAGATGACAAAAATCCATTATTTGGCAGACAGGCACTTTGAGAAAAGACTTTCTGGAGCAAGTGTGTCTGAATCTCACTGCCAATACCGATAATCATGATTAAAGTGGACTCAGGAAAGTTGATGCATGACAACAAAGAAACCAAGAAACCAAGTATAGAGTTTCATAATAATAGATAATACTCAACCCTGCCCCTTAGTAGTACAGACAGCCCTCCTTATCCAAAGATTTTTTTATCCACAGAATCAAGCATCCACAGTTTGAAAATATTCTTTAAAATACTATCTTACTGTGTTGCTGTATTTAACGGGACTGGAGTTTCCATGGATTTTGGTATCCACAGGAGGTCCTGGAACCAAATCCAGTGGATACCAAGGGCCCACTGTATTTTGAAAACCTGGCAACCCTAATGTGGCATGCATGTTGCCTCCGAATTAAGAACTGAAGATTGTAGTGGTCCAGTGTCAATGTGAACACAAGCTGCTTCAAGTAAGGTAGGGCTGTAGACTCTGAAGCGTTCACATCTCATCTAAGCTTTCAGATTTACAAGGTATCTCACTTTTGACCATGGGCGAGTGGTCCTTCCTCCGGGGTGGTGGTGGTGGTTTGCATATGGCTGAGGCACCCAGGGATGCGAATTCAATGCCTCAGATCTTGTGGAAAGGCCCCCTCTCCTAAAAACGAGGCATCTAATCTAAGGACAGGTGGGATTTGGGATTTTTATGTTCTGTTTAAATTGTATTAATATATATGTATGGAAATTTTAATGTTGTAAGCCGCCCCAATTGCTCTGCAGAGGGGCGGGATATAATTATTATTATTATTATTATTATTAACAGGTGTGGAAGTTTTAAATGCTGCTTAATTTATTTTAGTGTACTTATATCCTGCTCCTCATCCACAAAAGCTCTCAGTGCGGCTTATGGATTGTTAATTGTTAATCACACAGGCAGCTGCTACGCTGCAGAAATAACATTTTGACACCACTTTAACTGCCACAGTTCAATGGCATTTGCAGTTTTGTGAGATATTTAGCCTTCCTTTTTAGAGGATTCTGGTGCCCCATCAAACTACAAATCCCAGGATTTCCATAAGACAGAGCCATGAAAGTTAAAAGTGATGTCAAACTGCTTCATTTCTTGCGTTTGGCAGCCACAGGCACCTCCCCTGCTACCAGCTTTTATTGGAGAGCGAAAAGGGGAGAAGGCTCCTGTGTCATCCATGGTCGTCTAGAAAAGGGCATTTCATCAAGTGCTGCTTGTCATGCAACCAGGTAAGAACCGACACCTGCTGAAATGCCCTCTTATTTTTATTTATAGATTTACTTACTTCATTTATATGCCACCTTTCTCCCTTTCCAGTTCGCACTGTGGCAACCCTATATATGGCAGTGGTTCCCAAACTTTGGTCCTCCAGGTGTTTTGGACTTGAGCTCCCAGCAGTCCTGACTGTTGGTCAAACGAGGTGGGGCTTCTGGGAATTCCCCTCCCTGCTTTATTAAACTCTTATTTAAGCAAGCTTTTTAATGCTTAAGCAGGGAAGGTATTTAATGCAAGTGTAAGTTGTGCGGCATAGTGGTTTGAGTGTTGCGACTATGACTCTGGAGGCCAGGGTTCGAATCCCCACCACAAGCACCCACTGGGTGTGACCTTTGGCAAGTCACACTCTCTCAGCCTCAGATGATGGCAATGGCAAACCCCTCTCTGAAGAAACCTGCCAAGAAAACCCCGCGATAGGTTCCCCTTAGGGTTGCCTAATATTGAAAATGATTTGGAGACACACAACAACAAATGTTTTATCTGTTTTTAACTTTTGCATGTATGTTTTTTTAAAAATCAGTTTTATAGTTTTTAATGTGTTTTTTTTATAAAAAACAAATATTTTGCACTTTTTGCAAACATTTGAATGGCTTATAAAAGTCGCCTTGGGAGAAAGGCGGCATACAAATAAAAATAAAATAAGTCCAAAAACCCTGTACAGAAGCCAAATCTTGGGGCCTTTGCAGACTGCCAGAAATAGTGCAAATTGAGTCCACTTTAACTGCCCTGGCTCAGTGCTAGGGAATCATGGGAACTGTAATTTATTGTGGCACCAGAGCTCTCTGACAGAGAAGGCTCAATGTCTCAGAAAAAAATACAATTCCCATGATTCCCTAGCACTGAGCCAGGGCAGTGCCTCAATTTAATGTGCACTATTTCTGGCAGTCTGCAAAGGCCCTTGGGAACCAAGCTTAGGATTCAAACAAAGGCGACATCATTTGACCAAAAGTTCCCTCTCATTCACGACCCGACCCAGAAAGAGCCACTGCGCATGCCTTGAAAAGGCGGAGGGATGCGCGCGCCTACGCGTCACTCTTACCGTTAAATCAAACCATTTCCCGACGGGGCGCGCGCGCG